CTCAGTCCCTTATTACCCTTTAAATCTCCAAGGCTGGGCTTTTGTAATCAGTGAGCTTCAAGATCCTCAAATATTTCTCTGCACATCTAAAAAGCCCCACTCCATAGAAGAGCATTCTAGAAGATTGAAGCAGCTGATCTGGCACTGGAGATATATTTTTTAAACTTTTATACAGAATATATATTCCCTTGCCTTTTTTTAATTTGAGGAGTTTTTTGTATGTTTTTTTTTTTTTTACGTTTGTTTTTAATTTTGAGAGAGACAAGCAGGGAGGGGCAGAGAGAGAGAATCTCAAGCAGGTTCAGCACAGAGCCTGACATGGGGCTCAAACTCACCAAACTGTGAGATCATGAGCTGAGCCAAAATCAAGAGTTGGACCCTTAACCAACCGAGCCACTCAGGCACCTCGTTTCATTTTTTTTAATTTTAAACATAAAAAGTGAAAATTACATATTCCTAGATTCCAGAACTATCTACCAGCGATGACCACAATTAACACTGTACTCTGTATTTAAAAAATTTTATTGATGCTTATTGTATTCATTTGGGCAGGCTAATTGCGGTAAAAAATAGACAAAAATAAAACTACGTTAACAGCCCTAAGATAAGCGTAGGCTATTACTTGCTCCTGGGACAGTCCTGGGTGGAGGAGAAGGTGGGCAGTCAGCCAGGGACCCAGGCCACTGAGCTGGGGACACCGCCATCTCCAGCTTTTGTTCAGACTCACTCTGGGGTCCTCTCTATTCCAACCTGCTGTGCCGCAATGGCATACATGTTTTCTTTCTGTTGGTGTCCCCAGCTTCCCGGCAACATAGTCGCCTCCTGCACTGTTTGGCTGAAATTGCGCTTAACGCAAAATTGTGTGATTCAGGTTCACTCTCCCAGGCATGCTTGGAACTCATTCAAATTCGGACTCCTCCTTCACCCTCTTCCTCTTATCAGAGGTTCAAGAGTGCTTACCTCCACTCCTCTCTGCTTTCTGTCTTTGAAAAGGTTATGCCAGCTGCATTCGCTTCTCACATCTGTCTCCATTAGCTAAGCTGGCAGTTCGTGCCCCTCCCCCTTCTGTGCTGCAGCAGGGTTTTTATTTTTTCTAGTTTTGAGGTATAATTGACATGTAACACTGTGTAAGGTGAAAGTGTACAATGTGTTGATTTGATGCATTCGTATACTGCAAAATTATTACCACCATAGCATTAGCTAACACATCCATCCTGTCATATAATTGCCATTTCTTTTTTGTGGTGAGGACATTTAAGATCTCTCTTAGCAACTTTCAAGTACATTAGCATGCTGTACATTAGATCCCCAGAATTTGTTAATCTGATAAATACATATACGCTTTGACCAGTATCTCCCCATCTCCCCGTCCTTCCCCAGCCCCTGGTGAGCACCACTGTAGTCCCTATTTCTCTGAGTTTGGCTTTTCTATTTTTATTTTTTAAGTTTATTTATTTTTGAGAGAGAGAGAGAGAGAAAACAAGCGGGAGAGGGGCAGAGAGAGAGGAGACAGAGAATCCCAAGCAGGCTCCGTGCTGTCAGCGCAGAGCCCAACAGGGGACTTGATGTCATGAACCTGGAGATCATGACCTGAGCCAAAATCAAGGAGTCAGACGCTTAATAGATGCAACTACCCAGGTGCCCTGGAATTTGGCTTTTTTAGATTCCACATATAAGTGAAGTCATACAGTATCTATTTATCTTTCTCTCAGCAAAGATTTTATTTTTTTTTTAAGTCACTTATGAGCATGATCAGCTATCTTCTTACCTCAGAAAGTGGCTTCTTTTCCTTGATGTTTTCTTGAGGTAACTCTTGTCTGTCTGTCCTTTTTTGTACTCTTAGATTTCCCCTAAGAAATCCACCTCCTTTGTCTCTCCCCACCTCTCCTTGCAGCCTCTCCCACCGCTTTCTGCCCTTAGAGCCGTCAGGTAGCTTCAGCCTCATTTAATTAGCTGGAACCCACAGCAGTTTCTCCTTTCTCTAGCCACTACCCCTAAAGCGGCTTCAGCTGGCTGGCTGCCTTGCACTGTGGCTCTCTCTTGGGGCACTCACCCAAGTGCGGCTTGTTCAACAGTACTCTCTCATGGAGCAGCTTTCCAGACTGCAAACCACACTCAGACAGTTTGCAAACTCTCCTAACTCATTTACATCTGACTGACAGCAGTTCGAACCCTTCTCCCCAAAAGGAAAGCTCTGACAAGGAGTTTATTGCTCACCAGAGAGAGAGAGAGAGAGAAAGAGAGAGAGAGCACTTCCACATGGAAGCATCTAAAGTATCTTTAGAGGGACACGTGGGACAACTATGAGATTGTGCAATGTGGTAGCCAAGTATCCCAGTTTACCCAGGGCGGGCAGAGCTCCAGAAATAGAGGGCTTTTAGTTTCAAACCAGGACAAAATTTTATATGTACTTAAAAGTGGGCCTTTCTGGGGGCACCTGCGTGGCTCGGTCGGTTAAACCTCCACCTCTTGATTTTGGTTCAGAACATGATCTCATGGTTAGTGTGTTAAAGCCCTGCATTGGGCTCCGTGCTGGCAGTGCACAGCCTTCTTTGGATTCTGTCTCTCTCTCCCTCTCTCTGCCCCTCCCCAACTCACACACTCTCTCTCTCAAATAAATAAACTTTAAAACAAATAATAAATAAAGTGGTTCTTTCCTGGGCATTTCGGTGGCTCAGCTGAGCATCTCACTTTGGCTCAAGTTATGATCCTGCGGTTCCGTGAGTTCGAGCCCCACATCAGGCTCACTGCTGTCAGGGCAGAGCCCTGCTTCAGATGCTCTGTCCTCCTCTCTCTGCCCCTCCCCCTCTTGTGCTTTCTCAAAAATAAACAAACATTTGAAAATAAATAAATAGAGGCACCTGGGTGGCTCAGTAATTTAAGCCTCTGCCTTCAGCTCAGGTCATAATCTCATGGTTCATGAGTTCAAGCCCCACGTCGGGCTCTGCACTGAGTGCAGAGCCTGCCTGGGATTCTTTCTCTCTCTCTCTCTGCCCCTCCCCCACTTGTGCTTGCTCTCTCTCTCTCTCTCTCTCTCTCTCAGAGTGAATAAACTTAAAATTTTTTAAAATAAATAAAGTGGTTCTTTCCATGTAGGATCAGGATCTTGATTTGGGGGTGAGGGGTTCCAAGAGTCTTGGGATATAAACTATTGATGCTTTCTGTTGAAGCACTGATGTGTCTTTCAAGAAGTTCCAGTAATGAGCAATAACATTATCTGTCTCTGCAAAATTTATGCTAATGAATACAATGGACCAGTAAGTTTATCTTAATAAGACAGTGAGCTGAGGTGGGGTGAGGGGATGGGTAGATGGTTTCTGTTCTCAGAGTTAATTCTATCCTCTCTTTCCCAAGATGTGTCTCATACTCAACATCCTTCGTGAAATATCAAACCTAGTGTTTTGTTGTTGTTATTGTTGTTGTTTTTAAATTTGTGTGAACATTGCATCACCTCCAACCTCAAGTCTCTGATGTCTGTTCTAGCTTTCAGTCCATTCAGGAGCATAACATAGTAAAACTATTGTTCACAGAGCCTTCACTGTGTGCTCGGCTACATGTCCAACCCCTCACAGACATTATTTAATTTTCACAAGAGTCTTCTTAAAAATGTGCTATTATTATCCCTATTTTATAGATGAGGAAACTATGGCTCAAAGAGGTCAAGACACTTGTCCAAGGTCATGTAGCCAGAAAGAAGAGGCAGAGTCAACAGTTGATCTGAGTTCCACCTGAGTACTCAGCAATAAGAAGGAGCAAAGCACTGACATATGCTGTGATGTGTATGACCCTCACAGACGGCATGCTAAGTGAAAGAAGCCAGATGCAGAAGACTACATATGTATAATTCATTTATATGAAACATCCAGATAGGGCAAATTTAGAGGTAGAAAGCAGATCAGTGGTTCCTAGCCATGGAGGACGGGGTGGGAATTAACTACAAATGGGCATGCAATCACTTTTGTCCTTGACAGAAATTGACAGAAGTATTCTAAAACTGGGGTATAATGGTGGCTGCACAATTGTATAAATTTGCTACAAATTACCTAACTGTATACCTGCTATATGTGAATTTTATGAAAATTCTTCCTCTGTAAAACTGTTAAGAAAAAGTCCAGGCCAGATGCTAGGTTGTGACTCTCTACCAGTGGTTGTTCTAGTTGTTACTTCTAGTTGTTTCTATCAACAAGTGGATGCACATTCCTTTAGGTGCCTTAGGTGCCATTCCCTAGGGGAAAGGATACAGGTCTTACTGGGTTCTTCTGTCCTCTTCATATAAGCATAGGGAGTGACTATAAACTCTTTCAACCAATACACATGTGTTGAATACAGTTAATTTTGCCAATGAGAACCTATTTCTAACAGTCAGGAATTTCACTAATGCTAACTATTCATTTTGATTGGCATGTATATAAACCTTACTATGTGAGTTACAGACATACATGATATCACACATGTGCTGAAGTCTTAAATTACTGATATAGAAAAATAAACTCAAGTGAACTGCTGAGACACTACAACCATGACCTCTGAAGTAGCAACTGACAGAAGGAAGCTCTCTGCTCTTATTGCCTTGCTGTCATCCATCATTTAGTCTGTTCAACTTCCCAACCCAAGGCCAGGATATGTGTGCTATTAAGAATAAAGATATCTGTCCTCAACGGCCATTGGAGGGGCTTTTCTTTTCTATTTAAATATAAAAAATTTGGTGGGGGCAGGGGAAGGATATGAGACTGCAGTTAAGAGAAAGGTCACCCATAAATTCAGATGGACTGAAACTAAGCCAATGATGGGGAGGTCTGAATAGTTATTGTGTCCCTGGGAGGAGCCAGGAGGAGCTTGTTGTTGATGGGGCTGATTCCTGGCAGAGACAGTTCCTGGGGCACCACGTAAATGTGTATTCTTCTCATGAACATTTGTTAACTCTGATTCGTATTGCTTTATCTTTGACAAGGACAGAAATGGACATATTACTGTGAATGTGTTTCTTGTAACTCTTACAGAGAGATTCGGAATACCAGAAGCTTAACTTACATCGATCCTGGTGCCCTAAAAGAGCTCCCCCTCCTGAAGTTCCTGTAAGTATTAACTTCTACCCCATCCTATCCCCACCCTCTTTTTCTAAAGAGAGTTATAATGCTGTTGCCAGCCAGGAGTCTCCCTAGGATGCTGTGGGCCAGAGCCATTTTTGTGGTATATGGCCTGAAACAAATCACATCCTGTGATTTACACCCCAACCTTTCCCATCAGGGAAGGTATCAGGTGAAATGATCCACATTTGAAAAACCTATTTAAAAGTCAGCACATAATTCTGGGACCAAAGACTTAATCCAAGAGACATGAGGAAGAAAATACCCTTAAGTGGAGTGTAACAGAACAAAACAAAACAAAAAACTCTGAGAGGCCATTGGTCAATTTTCTTAGGAAATGGGTACCACAACAATGTTAAAGTGACTGTCACAGAGAAAAGAAAAAGCCACAAAGGGCAAAATCTAATCTCTTGGAGGTTGGGAGGACAAAAATGGAGGAGACAACACTATTGCTTTGCTTTGGTGACACCTTATGAGCTAGATATAACCTATTTGAGAGCAGGGACCACAGCACTTTTTCTCTCTGTTGCATCTTTACTGCCTGGCACAGAGCAGGTGCTCAATAAAAAATGTGTTCAATGGAGGTGTATGTGTGGCCTCAGGTTCTCTAGGCACCCTCTGGAAAAACCCTTCCCTTCTTCCCTTCTCTCCTGCTCACATGCATTGCAAAAGATTAGAACACAAAAACATTATGAGGGGAAAAAATTAAAATCAACCTTAATCCGAATACTGAGAAATAATCACAATTAAAATATTAGGTTGTTTCCATCTAGGGCTTTTAAATAAAAGTGTATATTCATATATATTTTATGAATTAGGTCTTTAAAGATGAATTGAAGTCATCCAGGAAAAGAAGGGGGAGAGGTAGAAGAAAAATACAGGTAGATGGATTAGCATGATAAAGACACAGAGGTATGGAAACATGTGTCTCATGTGGGACCTAAAAATAGTTCAGTATTGAAGAGGTGGGAGTGGGAGATGCAGAGAGAATAGAGGAGAATAGCGATGGAAGATGTGGCTGGAGGCGTATCTGGGGAGTAATAAAAACTTATGGGACAAGGCAATCACTCCTGTATGGATCTTGAGTTTCAATCAATCAATAATTCTTTGATACGATGATCCCTCAGTATGTGCAGAACTCTGCAGGGAACATATAGGATAATAAAACATTGTCCTTAAGCTTCAAGAAGCTTACAATCTAGTTGTTCCCAACATATGCCAGTTCCCATAAATGGAATCAAAAAATTCCTCTCCTACTGGAAAATAATGGTAGGTGATAAATGAGAGCTACAACATTATTTGGGGTCCAGGAAATTTGAGGGCACGTCAAAAAGGAGACGGACTTGTTTGGGGTTTTGAAGAAACGAGAGATCCTGGTTCCTAATCTGGCATTTCCAGCCCCAATACATGGTCCTCCCTTAACTCCAGAGCCTTCTTCCCTCCACACTCTTCCACATGAACCTCTATTGCAATTGACTAGTCTGTTTGTTGTTTGTTTACTGCTCTTCACATGTTCTATATGGAACCTGAACTCTTTCCTTTGCTATCTGGAATATCCCATTTGCTCTTTCTGAGACCTCGGCCTCCTGTTTTCTTTCAAATCTTATGCCTTCCCCTCTAAGAGGAGTCAGGTCAGGGGCACCTGGGTGGCTCAGTAGGTTGAGCATCCAACTTGATTACACCTCAGGTCATGATCTCGTGATCATGAGATCGAGCCCCACATCAGGCTCTGCACTGAGCGTGGAGTCTGCTTGGGATTCTCTCTCCTCCTCTCTCTCTCTGCTCCTCCCTTACTTGCTCATGACTACACATGCCCTCTCTTCCTGTCTCTGTTTCTCTGTCTCTCTAAATAAATAAATAAATAAATAAACAAATAAAATAAAATATAAAATAAAATAAAATAAAATAAAATAAAATAAAATAAAATAAAATGAGTCAGGTCAGAATTTGCCTAAGAAGGTATATCAATGGAATAAGAGTTTTTTCTCTGCTGGAAGACTTCCTTTAAAACTTTCTTGGTAGTTACCTAAGTCTCACCCCATGCCATGCCACACTTGTCAAAAAAAAATCTATTTCCACTACCTACATTGTAGTAGCTGCAACAAATATTAAATTAACCAAATCTGAGAGGCATCAGGAGCCTGAGAGTTGCTGTATTAGTACTGTTTTATGTACATCTTTTAATCTTGACATTTTTCCCTGATGACACAAACTTTGGAGAGTAAAGACATTATCATTGATTGATCGTATTCCTTGTCTAGACATATTTTCTAAATAGTACTGCTGCCATGCTATTCCCAGGTGACTTGCATGGAAAAATCATTCTTGGCAAAATAATGAACACAATATAATGTGGAGTTCTAAAGAGGAAGCCTGGCTTGGAGCTGGGTATTATATTGTCTTTCTACCCCATCCTCCCCCTATTCCACTGCCCTTCCCATAATGTCCTCCAATTAAAACAGGGAAATATCACACACACACACACACACACACACACACACACACACAGAAACCTGAATTCCTATTTCTAGGAATCCTACTTGGATTCCTTGGAAAGAATCCTCATATTCCTCTAAACAGAAGAAAATGTATTAACCCTAGTGGACCGATTTAGATTCTTGTACCTTGAGGGAACAACATCCCATTCAAGGTTTAGGACTTGCCTACAGTCACTCAGGTATTGAAAGAAAGAGTTAGGATTTGATTCTAGTCTGACTTCAGAACCCATGCTATTACACTATTCTGCTTCCTATGTGTTGATTTTCTTACCTTATTTCTGTTCTTTTCTTCTCTTTCATGCACTTTAGTGGCATTTTCAACACTGGACTTGGAGTATTCCCTGACCTGACCAAAGTTTATTCTACTGATGTATTCTTTATACTGTAAGTATACACACATGCAATATTTGGCAGTATTTTGTCACTGACAAGAAGTAGGATGCAGTCATAAGGGTTGGTAAAAACCAAGTGAAGCAATTGTCTCAAGGGGAAGAGAGATCAGCTGTTACAAACGCACTGGTGGGTGAAGCAAGGCAGGGACTGAGAAATGACCATTGGGTTTAGTAATATGGCACTTTGGTGACTCTGACAAGAGCAGTTCCACAGGAGCTCCAGCATGAAGTCTGGTTGGAGTTGGCTCAAGAAAGAGTCAGAAGGAAACAAAAAAAAGAAAGAAAAAGAGTCAGAAGGGAAGAATTAGAGACAGTGGCCATCAACTCTTTTGAGAAGTTTTACTCTTAAAAAAGAGTGGTAGTTAGAGGATAAAAGGCTTCTTTTTGTTGTTGTTTGATGGGACAAATTATGGCATGGGTGTTTGCTGATGCAATTATTGAATGGAAGGGAAATTTGATGATAATGATGATACTTTATTTTCCACATAGTTTTTAATAGCTTTTCAAACACTTTCCCAGGCATTATGTTTACTTCTCTCAACCACCTTATAAGGTATAAATGGAAGTTATAATTTTTTCCATTCTACAAATGAAGAAACTGAGGAATTGAGAATCTAAGTGATTTTGTCTGAGAAGAGTCCCAAGGAGTAGTAACTAGGGGTGTTAAAACTGCTTCCTGTGATTTCTGATTGGTGGCCATGTGCCCTTTTCCAAAACCTGTGACACAGTCAAGTGTCTTACCTACTTGTATAGAAGTAAAAGGACTTATGCAGTTACAGGTTGAGTCTGCGCTACAGGAAAATGTGGAGTGATAGGATCTGAACTCTCAGGATTTTGCTAGAAAAAAATGACCACACTCCTTTGCTGCAGAAGAGCTCAGTTCAAAATGTAGGCAGTCTTTTTGCAACTAGACTGGCACACAAATGTTCTCCGGAAGCATCTGCTGGCAGTGTTTTGCAAGTAGAGGACACTGTAATATTCATGAAAAGAAATTCATTGATCTCCTTCTACCAACCCTTCTTATACGTTCCATACACTTAGAAAACTCTGGTTACTCTGGACAAAGTATTGGTCGCAGATTTACAAGAATACTCTAGATCCACCTGGTCCCCTTGCAAATGAGGATTAAGTCGGGGACCTCAGCCCACACTCAAAGTGCACTTGCTTCCTGCACGTTTGGGGCTGTGACTGCATGTCCACCTGGGAGAGCTCTCAGCACCTCACTGGACCTCTAGCCACTAGCAGCTAAGAAATGTCAATGAAACTTAAAAAGAAACAAGATTAAACTAAATTGTGTCAGGTTATTTATTTGAGAGCATAGGTAGAGCAAGAGCCCAGCTCCAGAAGGAAAGCATTTTTTTTTTACCAAGTGTTTTTTCCCCCTCTTTTGCAGTGAAATTACAGACAACCCTTACATGACGTCCATCCCTGCGAATGCTTTTCAGGGACTATGCAATGAAACCTTGACACTGTGAGTAATGCCAGTTCTACTTCTACCAAAATGCAATTTTTATTTGGACCACTGTCGTATTTTCATAGCCCATCCAAGAAATATACTATAGGATGTGCTGTATCATCTACTAAAGTAGTTAAGAGGATTGCCTTATGGTATGGTACTCAGCAGATGACAAAATGGTTTAGGTAACAAGACAAGTATTCTCCTGTACAAATGGTCAGCATGATTTATCTGTAGAAGACCATTTAGGTTTTATAAACCACATGGCCTTTGTGGCAATTGAAAAAGGTAGCCATACACAATACATAAACTAGTGAGTTTGTTCCAATAAAATTTTATTTACAAAAACAAGTACTGGACCAGATTTGACCGGCATGCCTTATAATATAACTGTATTCTAGTATCCATATTGTGTAGAGGAAGAACCTGGGCTTAGAGCAAATTGAACTCTTCCAAGGTCACTGAGTTCGAAAATGATGCCACTAAGGGCTTCTCATGCTCTCTGTACTCACATTCAACTTGGTCATCACAACTATTATGAAACTCCTATAAAGCCATATTGAATAGAAAACAGTATTGTTCTATGTCATTACTTTTCCAGAGTTTGAATGGGTTCTGCTCTTTAGATAAAGGAGAAGTTTATTAGAGAAATTTATAAAATGTTCTAAGAAGTCTAATAGAAGTATAAAAGTTAATTCTCCAAACTGGTAGGAAATTCCCCCTCTTTCATGAAATTAGCCACAAAATAAAATTGAGGTTGTCCAAAGGATCCCTTGTCTCTAGCTTCAATACCACTGTCCAAGCTCAGGCCTGGTGGTGTTTTTGCCTGGATTGTCACCCAGCTCCCTTTCTCTGGTCACACTACAGTCCAGGGGTTCTTTATCATATATAAATTTGTTTGGATTATTCCCCAGCACAATTGATCCAAGCCTCCCCTGCCATTCTTGTAAGGGCTGCTTCCAAGCCATTCCTAAGTCTATCAATCTAGGCCCTCTGAAGCTATCTCAACCTCTGGGACTCTATCCACAGTGGAACATTTCAGTTCATCCTTCTCGAAACAAGGAGAGAGCTCTCTTGAAAAGAGACTCGTTCTTGGCCACCATTTCATCTGACAACACAGCAAAGACCTGGAGTCTTAGCCTGCTCAGTCCCAAACCCCAAGGCCATTTGTCTCCTCTGTAAAGGTTTCCATTGTACCACTTACCACTCACTGTATGTAAACTACTTTCTCAATTTCTTTACAGAAGGTTACCTTCAGCTTTTGGCATTTTTTTTTCCTAAGGACCTCATATCCCAAGCAGCCCTCTCAAGTAAAAGCTGCTGGTTGTCCCACTGAGCACAGGCCCCAGTAGGTGTTTAACCAACATCCAAATAAGGGAATCTCATGCTTCCTGCAATCTAGTGGTGGGGATGGCATGAGTTGCCCACTATCTTTTCAGATGATTATTTTTATATTCCTGAAAAAGAATGTTCTTGCTTCTTTGAAGCTCATGCTCAAAAAAGTATGAAAGGGTATGAGTCCAACAGCAGAATTTATATGCATATTCCTGTTAGGATAGAGTTTCAGAGTTTGCAATCTTTTTTTTTTTCTTTTTCAATATTTTTTCTTCCTTCACTTTTTTCCCTTTTTTAAGGCCTGTTTGTCCAGTAAGAGTTTTATTTAATCTCTGAAATGTAATTCCAACAAAGAATATTTTCATTGTCTAGGAATCTCAGTAAAGTTTGGGAGAACAGAAATCTCAAACTCACAATTCTAACATAATTCTAGTTCAGAAAAAATTATCAGAGCTTTCTTCAGCCTCTGTGCCTAGCACCTCTGTGCATTGCAATCCTCACCCAGGACATATTAGTAGCTGGAATTAAACTCATTGTATGATTATTTAAAACTAATCAAAAATAAAAACAAAGATTAGTCTCAGTTCTCCATAACTACATAGGATAAATGCCAGTTTTCAGGGTATCCCTTTTAACACGGTCATGTCCTAAGTGTCTCTCACCAATAAACATATAGCTATTTGATCCTCCCAGCAACGTTTTGGTTAGGTATTAATATCATATTTCTTACAGATAAGAAATCTGAGGACAATAGAGGTTGAGAAATTCTCAGGATCACAAATATGATGAAGTGACAGAGTCAGATAAAATTCCAAGTGAAGAGTCTCTTGCATGCTTCATAGCGTGTCACCAGAGTTAACAGGTGGTGGGTACAAAGGTTTTCAGAATTCCCCTACAACTGTCACTAGTTGTACTTGACTGTGGTCATGGCTGCCTTCTCTTTCTGGATGCCAATAGCCCCCATGCATCCCCCTGGAGACCAGAGCTCCCATGGCTAGGGCTCCTTTTCCTTTGGGTACTTAGGAAGAATCACTTCCTGAGGACAGAAATCCTGACTCCCGGCAGCTCCGCCTCAATGTGGCTTTGGCAAGTCACCCCCACCTCTCAGTAACTTGAGTAGTACATAGAGGAGATGACACTTCAGTCCAGTCCCAGGGATCACCGCACAAAGTAGCTAGTCACGGAAACATAGCAACCACTTAAAACATCAAAATTTCCACAAAAGAGAATGCTCTACCTGTTTTCTTAGATTTGTCTTTGAAGTTCGATTTGATTCAGCCCGCAACCATTAAGCATTTAATCTATGATAAGCCCTGAGGACAAAAATGTGGATAAAACACAAACGTGAAGTGGCATTTTAAATAGGAAAATATAAAGCTTATGCATTCAGATGAATAGTATCTTTTAAAATTGACCTCTTAAGAAACTGAAGTTATTCCCCCATTACTGACATTGAATTAACTGTTACCTGAAACTCTTCTTTTTTGAGTATAGGTAAAACATTTAAAAATCAATCCTTTTTTCCCATCCCCCATGGTTGATGGTGGGTGGGTGATGGGCGTTGAGGAGGGCACCTGTTGGGATGAGCACTGGGTGTTGTATGGAAACCAATTTGACAATAAATTTCATATTTAAAAAATAAAAAATAATAAAAATGAAAAAAATAAAACAAAATAAATCCTTAATCATGGCAAATCTTTGCTCTTCCAACTAAATCCACTTCTGAGAAACAGTTTGAAGTTACTGGGAGATGTGTGGAAAATGGGGATTCACCCTGGGAGATATTACTCTATGTTCCAAGAAAGACATACTGTAAAGTTTTCTTGTGGGACCTGAGAACCTTCATGCACATTTCTGATACCACAGAACTGAAGCCCAACCCTCACCTCTTATGGCTCACTGATTTCTCCTCTCTCTGTTGATTGTAGGAAACTATACAACAATGGCTTTACTTCAATCCAAGGACATGCTTTCAATGGCACAAAGCTGGATGCTGTGTAAGTCAAGGGTAATCATGGAAACCACTGTTTTCCTTCACATTCCCACACCCATTCAATGGGGAATCATCCCATGGGTCACAATTCTGTTAGAGATAGGTTCTACCAGAGCATTCCTCAAACCCAGAGTTAGCATGACCAAAACGTGGAGATGATGTTAAATAACTTAGCAAGAGGCAGCTTTAGTATATACTTACAATGACTCCAATTCTAAATCCCAAAGTTTTATCCTTGATAAAATGGAGAACCATGGTCTCATCTTCAGTTTCCTTGAGAGCTTGTTTGGAGGTTCTAGCAGGATTGTGCAGCTACTTATAAACCCTTGACTGAAGAACAGTACTTCTCTACAGGGGCAGGTTGTCCTCTTCGACCAAGTGCACAGCTTCAGGAGGGATGCACATGGAGTGGTGAGAGAGGAGGGGGCACACCTGCCTAGCCAGCCAGATCAATGGACTCAACCCTGGTGATCAATGGGGTGACAGATGTCACAGCCAGATCGCCCTCACATCTCAGTTTTCTTGTAGGTGTGTGTGTGTGTGTGTGTGTGTGTGTGTGTGTGCGTGTGTAAACATTCATCTATATGTATATGAAGTAAAAGGTGTCTTTAATTGAGTCCAAAGCTGTTCAGAAAGTAAGGTTTATCTTTTTTGTGTTTTCTAGCACTTTTCCAAAAGGTTTAGTTTATATTTGATTCACTCAAAAATAGCTGAAAAGACATATCCAACTTTTGCCTGCCCCCAAAATAAATAATGCCTAGAACAGGATGTTGACCAAAAGATAGCCATCGAACTGGGGTTCTGTCTTTGTTGTACTTTTCTGTCAGATCTTTAGGGCCCCCAGTATCGACACCAGAATATATGTTGTATCTAAGAGCTTGTGGGCCGGCTCAGCCCTACTAATTTGTGTTTTAACTTAATATCTAATAAATGATAAAATAGCTTTAGTAGAGTCTCCTTCCCACGGTGTCGTGGACGAATTAACTTGTAGGGCCTTCCTACTACCAAACCACTAGATCATACATTTAAAAAGATTATATTTTATGTCATAGCTCCAAGAGAGGGAAAAGAAACCAGGAGCTGAAGCCAAAGTGGTGGGTGCTTACAAAAGGTGGACATTCCTAGGGATGGCTGCCAAGATCAGTGGTGCCAAGATACTAGGCTTTAGTGCAGTGAGAAGGCAGGGTAGTGAGGTAAATCAGAGACTTCTAGATTAAGCCAGAGAACCTGGACCAGAGCTGGAGTGGTACCACCCTAGGAGTACCTTCTGATTCCAGCAGAAATAAATGCAAACCTTGACAGAAGGAAAAAACCAGTGCAGGCCCCCTAGATTTTTTAAAGATCAAGATCAATCAGATATGTATGAGCTCACAGTCAAAAATCACATATAGGAGGGAGTGCCTGCATGGCTCAGTCAAACGTTTGACTCTTGAGATCAGCTCACATCATGATCTCATGGTTGTGAGATCGAGCCCTGTGCAGGGCTCTGTGTGGAAAGCGTGGAGCCTGCTTGGGATTCTCCCTCCATCTCTCTCTCTCTCTCTCTCTCTCTCTCTCTCTCTCTCTGCCTTTCCCCTGCTTTCACGACTCTCTCTCTCTCTCTCTCAAAATAAATAAATAAACATTTTTTTTAAAATCACACATAGAAGAAAGAAAACCCCCCATAGTAAGAGTCAGCTGGAACAACAAACAACAGATTTTTGTTTGTTTAATAACATATCGCTGAGTATTTTTTCAACAATTATATTTTCTTCAATTCTAGAACTTCTATCTACTTTTTTAAAAAATTTGCCTGCTTATTTAAAAAAAATTTTTTTAATGTTTATTTATTTTTGAGAGTGGAGAGACAGACACAGTGTGAGAGGGGGAGGGTCAGAGAGAGAGAGAGGGAGACACAGAATCTGAAGCAGGCTCCAGGCTTTGAGCTGTCAGCACAGAGCCCAACACGGGACTTGAACTCACGGACCGTGAGATCATGACCTGAGCTGAAGACGGACAACCAACCAACTGAGTCACCCAGGTGCCCCTGCCTGCTCATTTTTGGCAGCCTTACTTCTTACTCATTTTTGTGATTCCATCTTTTTTTCTCTTTAAGCATTTCATATGTAGTTTTTTTATATTCAGGGAGTGATTGTTGCAAAACCTGAAGGCCTATGGTTCTAGATCTGTTCTTATACAGTGCTTCTCAAACTTTACTGAACATGTAAACCATCTGGGGGATCTTGTTAAAATGCAGAATCTGATTAAGTAGATCTCGGTGGCCCCAGGACTCTGCATGTCTAACAAGCTCCCAGGTCATGATGCTGCTGCTGATGCGTGGACCACACTCAAGCAGGGGAAGGTGGATGACCTACAGAATCATGTGCAGGGGCCCTGGATGCAAACAAGCAGACAAATAACACACATGCAGATTAAGTGGTCTTGTTCTGACTTAGGAGTTAAGTGGTTAATTCTGGTAGGATTCCAGCTTTAAAGAATAAATTCTAATAGGTTTTGAAGTCATTAAACCCCGGCATGGCCTTATGAGTTCCATTTGAAGTGGGGGTTCACTCTTTGCCAGGCTTTTGGTTTTCTCATGATCTTTATCAGATAGAGATTAGAGGGGCACCTGGGTGGCTCATTTGGTCAAGCGTCAGACTCTTGATTTCAGCTAAGGTCATGATTTCACAGTTCATGAAATCAAGCCCCACGTCAGGCTCTGTACTGACAATGTGGAGCCTGCTTGGGATTCTCTCTCTCTCCCTCTATCTCTCTTCCCACCCTCCCCCCACTTGTGCCCTCTCTCTCTCTCTCCCTCTTTCTCTCTCTCTCTCTGTCTCTGTTGCAAATAAATAAACTTAAAAAATAGAGATTAGAGTACTTTTCTCTAAACTGTCTCATTAAGGTTTTAGTCATTTTAAAAATACACAAATATAAAAGAAGACTGAAAAGACTCAATAGAGTAACATGAAAACTTATACATCAATTTTATTTACAGTATTGGAAAGACCTTACTTCTGTCTTAACTTTATCATACAAATCTTACATAATCCTTCATTTATTTTTTTTTATTTTTTTTCTTTTTTTTTTTTTCAACGTTTATTTATTTTTGGGACAGAGAGAGACAGAGCATGAACGGGGAAGGGGCAGAGAGAGAGGGAGACACAGAATCGGAAACAGGCTCCAGGCTCTGAGCCATCAGCCCAGAGCCTGACGCGGGGCTCGAACTCACGGACCGCGAGATCGTGACCTGGCTGAAGTCGGACGCTTAACCGACTGCACCACCCAGGCGCCCCGATCCTTCATTTATTTTTCAACGTATTTATTAACACCTACAATGAGCCAGGTACTGTGCTATTCACAGGTGACACAAAGATGGAGAAGAGAAATGTGCTCCCTGCCTACACTGAGCATGCGTTCTTAGTGGCATCAACTTGAGGGCAGCAGTACTAAGGGTCAAAGCACAGTAGGGAGAAATGAGCCATATCTAAAATATCCATTTCAGATTGAAAATAACTAAACACTGGGGTGCCCAGGTGGCTCAGTCAGTTAAGTGTCCAATGTCAGCTCAGGTCATGATCTCTTTGTGAATTTGAGCCCCACATCGAGCCCACTGCTGTCAGCACAGACCCTGATTTGGATCCTCTGTCCCCTTTCCTCTCTGCCCCTCCCTCCCTCCCTCTCTCTCTCAAAAATAAACATTAAAAAAAAAGAAATAACTAAACACTAAATATTCAATAACATTGGCCTCCTTACTTGGAGGTATAAGCATGATTTTCCCTAGATTTATCAAGGTTTTTTTTAATTATTAGCATTCAACTTCAATATTATGTGAATCTAAGCAAATATTTTCCTCCTTGATTCAACTATTCCTAGAAAGCTGTGGTCTTAAGGGAAATAATTTTCCCAATTCAAATTTACTGTGAATAAAACAGAGAATTGGGACTTCTTAAAATAATTAAGACAATTCGAGATGCCTAGGGTATAAAGATATCAGAAGACTGTCACACAACCATGCTAGATAGCAGGTGCATTAAGATGTTAGCATTAAGGCAACAGAGAGCCACATTAGTAAGGGCAGGGGTGGGGACAGTGAAGAAACGTTCAACCAGGGAGACCTAAGGTGGTCGTAAGGCTCCTGAATTCAGTGTGTCTGGCTGGCTCTTTTCTGAACCAAAACCGCTTTTTCAGAATGCTAGATGAGATTAAAAAAACCCAGCACCCAACCTCAGGTATAGAGTCATTGGTTTATAAAAATTTTATTTGTCACAAGCAAAAGATTTTAAAGCCCATGATTAGGAGCTGTGCTTTAAATTATCTGTTCCTTTATCCTGCTATATGTAGTCATTGACAGGTATCACTCTCCATCACTCTCATTTTTTTTTTAATTTTTTTTTAGTGTTTATTTATATCTAAGAGAGAGACAGAGACAGAGCACAAGCAGGTGAGGGGCAGAGAGAGAGGGAGACACAGAATCCAAAGCAGGCTCTAGGCTCCAAGTTGTCAGCACAGAGCCCAACGCAGGGCTTGAACCCACGAACTGTGAGATCATGACTTGAGCCGAAGTCAGACGCTTAACCAACTGAGCCACTCAGGTACCCCTCAGCTATCATTTTTTAAGCACAGAGATGTGGGGTGTAAAATTCAGCCTTTAGGGCTACACAGCATAGTTCTTAATACTGGCCAAAAACTGAAATCACCTGAAGAGATTTGGAAGTGCAGATGCCTAGGTTTTACCACACATTCTGGTGTAATTGGTTTGGGTGTAGCCAGGGCATGGCCAGTAAAAAATCTCCCTATGTGAGTCTGGTGTAAAGCAAGAATCAAGAACTGTGACTACAGAGTATGTTATTATCAGTCTTTTTGTCCAACAGTCACAGTTGCGTATGAAGAGAATGAAGCCCAAAGTGAACAAACACGTGATTTTTTTTTTTAACATGGCTTTTTAAATTTGGTAAAGCTAGCTGGTGGAGCCAAACCAAAGCCAGGACCTGGATCCCCTTGTTCAAGACTCTTTTTCCTGTG